TGTTCACTCCCTTGCACAGCAAAATTACGTATTTGGCTTGTACACCACCTCAAGCCATTTTATCAAATTATGATGATCTTCAGGGTGGTGTTTAATTCCCATTGAAATCTAGCCAAATGGCAGATTTAGAATACTCCATCACACACCTTTTACAGTGCCTTGCAAAAGTATTCACCCCCCCCTTGGCGTTTCTCCTATTTTGTTGCATTACAACCTGTAATTTAAATTGATTTTTATTTGGATTTCATGTAATGGACAAATTGCTGAAGTGAAATTAAAAAAATAACTTGTTTCAAGAAATTCTAAAAAATAAATAATGGAAAAGTGGTGCGTGCATATGTATTCACCCCCTTTGATATGAAGCCTCTAAATAAGATCTGGTGCAACCAATTACCTTCAGAAGTCACATAATTAGTTAAATAAAGTCCACCTGTGTGCAATCTAAGTGTCACATGATCTGTCACACAGTATATAAACACCTGTTCTGAAAGGCCCCAGAGTCTGCAACACCACTAAGCAAGGGGCACCACCAAGCAAGCGCCACCATGAAGACCAAGGAGCTCTCCAAACAGGTCAGGGACAAAGTTGTGGAGAAGTACAGATCAGGGTTGGGTTATAAAAAAATATCAGAAACTTTGAACATCCCACGGAGCACCATTAAATCCATCATTGAAAAATGGAAAGAATATGGCACCACAACAAACCTGCCAAGAGATGGCCGCCCACCAAAACTCACAGACCAGGCAAGGAGGGCATTAATCAGAGAGGCAACAAAGAGACCAAAGATAACCCTGAAGGAGCTGCAAAGCTCCACAGCGGAGATTGGAGTATCTGTCCATAGGACCACTTTAAGCCGTACACTCCACAGAGCTGTGCTTTACGGAAGAGTGGCCAGAAAAAAGCCATTGCTTAAAGAAAAAAATAAGCAAACACGTTTGGTGTTCGCCAAAAGGCATGTGGGAGACTCCCCAAACATATGGAAGAAGCTTCTCTGGTCAGATGAGACTAAAATTGAGCTTTTTGGCCATCAAGAAAAACGCTATGTCTGGCGCAAACCCAACACCTCTCATCATCCCGAGAACACCATAATTTTTCATCGGCAGGGACTGGGAAACTGGTATGAATTGAAGGAATGATGGATGGCGCTAAATACAGGGAAATTCTTGAGGGAAACCTGTTTCAGTCTTCCAGAGATTTGAGACTGGGACGGAGGTTCACCTTCCAGCAGGACAATGACCCTAAGCATACTGCTAAAGCAACACTCGAGTGGTTTAAGGGGAAACATTTAAATGTCTTGGAATGGCCTAGTCAAAGCCCAGACCTCAATCCAATTGAGAATCTGTGGTATGACTTAAAGATTGCTGTACACCAGCGGAACCCATCCAACTTGAAGGAGCTGGAGCAGTTTTGCCTTGAAGAATGGGGGGGGGGGGGGGGGGGGTGAATAGTTATGCACACTCAAGTTTTCAGTTTTTTTGTCTTATTTCTTGTTTGTTTCACAAAATAAAATATTTAGCATCTTCAAAGTGGTAGGCATGTTGTGTAAATCAAATGATACAAACCCCCCCAAAATCCATTTTAATTCCAGGTTGTAAGGCAAAAAAATAGGAAAAATGCCAAGGGGGTTGAATACTTTCGCAAGGTAAAGAACATAATGTTTACAAAATAACCTAAACCATATGAACTGGCTCCACCATCTCAATAACAGATGCAAAAAATTCAACCACTAACAGATTAGAGTAGACTTTAAAATGTTATTTATCATATAAATGAAAAATGGACCAGCAAAACAGCATGCTGGGAATTATTTTAATCAGCCCCCTGACATCATTTAAAATGTATTTTTCCAAGGCTAAAAGTAAGCAGTACAGAATGTTGCAGTCCTCTGAAGCTCAGTTGGTAGTGAATGGCTCTTGCAACACATTTGTCATTTAGCAGACGCTCTTATCCAGCGCGATTTACAGTAGTGAGTGCATACATTTTTGTTCTGGTCCCTCATGGGAATCAAACCCACAACCCTGGCGTTGCAAGCGCCATGCTCTACCAACTGAGCAACATGGTACCAATGACAGAATAGTGGGTTCAATTCCCGGGAACACCCTTACGTAAAAATTGTATGCATACATCACTGTAAGTCGCTTCGGATAAAAGTGTCTGCTAAATGGCATATGTTGTAGATGCAATACAGAATAATTGAGTAAACAATAATCAGTGGAATTTGAATTCTGCCTCCATATAAAAGGCATCACCCAAATTAGTTCACCCAAATTACATAGTTCATAGACTGCTTAAGGGTAAAGAAACCAATATGTAATTTGTCTGAACTATCAATTTAATTGGACCAAAATAACCTAAAACATTGAAACAAATTATTTATAAAACAGTAACGTATATACTTATAATTATTTGATTTAAAACAACGTTTGCATTCAATTTCAATGCTAACTGCATTAACTCCAGTAAATGGAATTTGTACAATTATAATACAATTCAAGTAAAAACATTTTTTATTTGAATTCCATTCTAATTATGTTTTTATTTATCCAATTCAATTCCAATTCAGACAGTCTAAATTCCAATTCAATTCCAATTCCATTCCCATTCCAAGGATGGTTTTTTTCTTCAATTCTTCTTGTTTCGGGACATCATAATTATCCTACCTAGACTAGCCTACAACACCACATTGCAATGAATAATTAATAGCATAATTTTTTCTCAAGTGAGCACAAAATTCTACTCTATTCTGTAAACGGCATATTTCATTCCATTTGGATCAGTTGTGGGTCTACTCTCGACAGTTTATAAGGTCTAGAAAGACACCGTAGCAGGCCAGTCTAGCTGTGCTTTAAGTTCTGATACTGAGATGCAGTGTCTGTTGCAGATCATCATTCTCCCAAGTCGTCCTATAATAGTGTAGCCACATATGCTCCCAGCAGGCCCAGTTATTCAGGATAGCTTAACTCTGCTTCCCATCCTATTACTTGTGCACCTAAACGCTTCAATATAGCAAAAATATTTGTTATTTAACTTTTTAAATGTATGACATTTTATGTGTCGCATAAACACAACCAGTCACAATGTTTTAAATGATTAGGCTAGTTCAAAAGTCTCCTGTAGTCTACCTTCGCACGTTCGTCCAAAATATTTTTCCAGCATACAAACTATGCAGATTGTGGTGTTGAAAATGCAAACCATGATGTTGAAGCGCTCAAAGTCAGTATGCTTTGCTTATTGGTTGTGGTGCATTGGCACAGAAACCTGTTGGTGGAAAATTGGTTGCATATATTTTATATAATTATAAATATAGCATCAAAATGTAAAATCTGATTTCCACCTAGCTGATCATTGTGTAGGTCTATTGAAACAGGCAGGGAGAGTTAGCTCGTCCATGGTAAGTCCAATTTGTAAGTTGCTCTGGATAAGAGCATCTGCTAAATGACGAAAATGTAAAATGTAAATGGTGGTCAGCGAACCCTCAACCTTCCTGCCCACAGCCCTGTGTGGCATCGACTGTGCCATAAAAGCACGCTAAAGTGGCAAAGTCAATGACCATGTTATTGTTATTTGTGGTGTGGTTGTAAACATTATTTTGAGTTAATTTTATGAGGGAGAAAATATTTGTACATTTCGAACTGTCCCTTACGTATTTCAATTTTGAATTTAGTAGTGCAAATATTCTAAGGTTCAGTAGCATCATCCTCAGCAGGTGACTGTTCACTGACAGTTTGTTTCATGGACAGTGCCTTATTTATTAGGTTGGGAGGCCCCCAATCAAAACGTACTTAGGTCCCCCAAAAGGCTAGAGCAGGCCCTGCTCAGATATAACATAAGGCATAAGAGAAATTAGCTTTAAATCGGGAAGATTTTCTCTCAGCCCCATGACAAAATGTACTGTATAGAATAGGAAGAGATACGGTTTAAAACTGCAAAATCGTCTCTCAGCCCCATGGCAAAATTTGTGGAATAGTAGGAAATCTAATTTAAAACAGCAACATTTTACCTCAGCCCCATGGCAAAAAGTGTAGAATTGCAGGAAATCTGCTATAAACAGCATAGTTTTCTCTCTGCCCTATGGCAAAATGTTTAGAATTGCTAGTCTGGCCTCAAAGACTAGACGTAACATAGTAGCAGTAAATCTGTGACACTCTAATTAGCATGATATGTTACGTTTGGTATGGTTACATAAGTCATAAGGTTACTTAAGCTAAAAACAAAAGGTGGGAAGTTGGTTGGGGATGATGGGTGGGCATATAACACAAACGCCTAGCAATGCAAAAGTTGTGTGTTCACATCATGGCAACTTTGCAACTACTTAGTAAATTAGCTAACCCTAACCTTAACCCCTAGCCTAGCTTACATTAGCCAACTAGTCACCTAGCTAACGTTAGCCACAAAAATGTTTAATTTGTAACATATCATAAGTATTGCAAATTCGTAACATATTGTTCAAATTGCAATTCGTAACATGCAAAAGTTGTGTGTTCACATCATGGCAACTTTGCAACTACTTAGTAAGTTAGCTAACCCTAACCTTAACCCCTAGCCTAGCTTACATTAGCCAACTAGTCACCTAGCTAACGTTAGCCACAAAAATGTTTAATTTGTAACATATCATAAGTATTGCAAATTCGTAACATATTGTTCAAATTGCAATTCGTAACATGCAAAAGTTGTGTGTTCACATCATGGCAACTTTGCAACTACTTAGTAAGTTAGCTAACCCTAACCTTAACCCCTAGCCTAGCTTACATTAGCCAACTAGTCACCTAGCTAACGTTAGCCACAAAAATGTTTAATTTGTAACATATCATAAGTATTGCAAATTCGTAACATATTGTTCAAATTGCAATTCGTAACATATCATACGAATTGCAATTCGTAATATATCATACAAAATGGGTGATGGACATCCACAAATTAATACATTCCATACGAAATGTAACATATCATACTAAATGGAGGGAGAGATTTTCTATGTTACAGCTACCCCTGAGTCTAGCTTAAAAATAAAATCTCTCCACTGCCATGAGGGGAGCCTCCAAATTCTTCTTTCCCAGGGCCCCAGATGTGGTTAGTCCGGCCCTATCTCGACGCTGTGACCCCTGGCTCTGATTGGACGTCTCACTGGACCCCACCTCCACCGTACTGACAGGGTGCGCCGCCTGAAACACATGCACCCGGTTCACCACCCTCTTACTCAACGCACAGTCAAACACCTTCCGGAATCCCTTCCGGAAGTGTTTGGACACCAGGGCATACACTATAGGGTTGAGGCAGGAGTTAGCATAGGCCACCAGGTGGGAGAGAATACGGAGTATATAGGTGGTGTGGTTTAGTGGAAAGTGGCCAAACCACATACACAGTATAACCAGGTGATGGGGAAGCCAGCAGAGGCAGAAGAGCACCGCTACGATAATAATCATCTTGGTGACTTTCCTCTTGGCTCTCCTGGACTCAGACATGTCCTTCATGGGGTCCACCGTGGTCCACAGGTAGCAGATGGTTCTGGCGTAGGTTAGGCTGAGGATGAGGACAGGGATGAGGTAGCCGAAGAAGAAGGTGCAGACGTCCATGAGGCGCCTGTCCTGGATCTGCCAGGCGGGGATGCAGACCACGGTGCCGTCCAAGTCCATCTGTCGGTAATAGCTCAGGTACGGGCCAGAGAAGACCAGGGACAAACCCCAGACCACACAGATGGACGTCAGGGCGTTACGATGGGTCCTCATCTCCCTGGAACGGAGAGGGTAGCGGATGGCCAGATACCTTGGGGGTCAACAATAGGAAAAAGATGTGGACTCAGATAGTTGGACAGACAGGACTTAGTGACACATAATATAATACCCAGGCACGTCCTCCTATGAGAAAAAAGTGCCCTTTCAAATTGGTAGCATTTTTTTATTTATACATTTTTATTTTACTTCTAGTTAGTTTTTTCACTGTCAGGTAAATAATTGTCCATCAAACTAGCTAATTTCTCATTTTTTAATCTTGGAAAATTATTTCTCCCCGCTACTCTGCCCCCACGCGAGCCGTGGACTGCAGTTGTCCTCCTGTTGCTGCACAAGCAGAAGCTACCAGCGCCTAGCGGTAGTAATGTTATAAGCAGGGTTGAAATTACACTGCTCAAAAAAATAAAGGGAACACTTAAACAACACAATGTAACTCCAAGTCAATCACACTTCTGTGAAATCAAACTGTCCACTTAGGAAGCAACACTGATTGACAATAAATGTCACATGCTGTTGTGCAAATGGAATAGACAACAGGTGGAAATTATAGGCAATTAGCAAGACACCCCCAATAAAGGACTGGTTTTGCAGGTGGTGACCACAGACCACTTCTCAGTTCCTATGCTTCCTGGCTGATGTTTTGGTCACTTTTGAATGCTGGCGGTGCTTTCACTCTAGTGGTAGCATGAGACGGAGTTTACAACCCACACAAGTGGCTCAGGTAGTGCAGCTCATCCAGGATGGCACATCAATGCGAGCTGTGGCAAGAAGGTTTGCTGTGTCTGTCAGCGTAGTGTCCAGAGCATGGAGGCGCTACCAGGAGACAGGCCAGTACATCAGGAGACGTGGAGGAGGCCGTAGGAGGGCAACAACCCAGCAGCAGGACTGCTACCTCCGCCTTTGTGCAAGAAGGAGCAGGAGGAGCACTGCCAGAGCCCTGCAAAATAACCTCCAGCAGGCCACAAATGTGCATGTGTCTGCTCAAACGGTCAGAAACAGACTCTATGAGGGTGGTATGAGGGCCCGACGTCCACAGGTGGGGGTTGTGCTTACAGCCCAACACCGTGCAGGATGTTTGGCATTTGCCAGAGAACACCAAGATTGGAAAATTCGCCACTGGCGCCCTGTGCTCTTCACAGATGAAAGCAGGTTCACACTGAGCACATGTGACAGACGTGACAGAGTCTGGAGACGCCGTGGAGAACGTTCTGCTGCCTGCAACATCCTCCAGCATGACCGGTTTGGCGGTGGGTCAGTCATGGTGTGGGGTGGCATTTCTTTGGGGGGCCGCACAGCCCTCCATGTGCTCGCCAGAGGTAACCTGACTGCCATTAGGTACCGAGATGAGATCCTCAGACCCCTTGTGAGACCATATGCTGGTGTGGTTGGCCCTGGGTTCCTCCTAATGCAAGACAATGCTAGACCTCATGTGGCTGGAGTGTGTCAGCAGTTCCTGCAAGAGGAAGGCATTGATGCTATGGACTGGCCCGCCCGTTCCTCAGACCTGAATCCAATTGAGCACATCTGGGACATTGTGTCTCACTCCATCCACCAACGCCACGTTGCACCACAGACTGTCCAGGAGTTGGCGGATGCTTTAGTCCAGGTCTGGGAGGAGATCCCTCAGGAGACCATCCGCCACCTCATCAGGAGCATGCCCAGGCGTTGTAGGGAGGTCATACAGGCACGTGGAGGCCACACACACTACTGAGCTTCATTTTGACTTGTTTTAAGAACATTACATCAAAGTTGGATCAGCCTGTAGTGTGGTTTTCCACTTTAATTTTGAGGGTGACTCCAAATCCAGACCTCCATGGGTTGATAAATTTGATTTCCATTTATAATTTTTGTGTGATTTTGTTGTCAGCACATTCAACTATGTAAAGAAAAAAGTATTTAATAAGATTATTTCATTCATTCAGATCTAGGATGTGTTATTTTAGTGTTCCCTTTATTTTTTTGAGCAGTGTAGATTTAATTTATTTCTGTTACGGGACCTCCTACACACTAAAAAATGAGGGTTCCTCAAGGTTTCTTAGGGAAGGATGATGGTTCTATCTGGAACCATAAGGACTCAAAGAACCCTTTGAGCTGTTCAATAGTTCTTTAAAGGTCACAAAAGCGTTCTTTGCTCTTTTAGTGATAATTCAAATGTGGGGGCAGTGCATTAGAATATTTTGGGGCATGGTTTGCGCACAGGTATTTTTGTGCAACCGTGAGTGAGTGTCATTCCAGTTTATCTAATGTGTTGTGTTATGCAATTACACTGAATACAAAATATAAATGCAATGTGTTTATGTTTCATAAGCTGAAGTAAAAGATCCCTGAAATTTTCCAGATGCACAAAAACTGTTTTTCTCTCAACTTTTATGAACAAATTTGTTTACATCACTGTTAGTGAGCATTTCTCCTTTGCCAAGATTATCCATCCATCTGACAGGTGTGGCATATCAAGAAGCTGATTAAACAGCATGATTACACAGGTCCACCTTGTGTTGGGGATTATAAAAGGCAACTTTAAAATGTGCAGTTGTGTCACACAACACAATGCCACAGATGTCTCAAGTTTTGAGGGAGTGTGCAATTGGCATGCTGACTGCAGGAATGTCCACCAGAGCTGTTGCCAGAGAATTGAATATTAATTTCTCTACCAAAAGCCGCCTCCCAATGTTATTTTAGAGAATTTGGCACTACGTCCAACTGACCTCACAACCGCAGACCACGTGTAACCACTCCAGCCCAGGACTTCCACATCCGGCTTCTTCACCTGTGGGTTTGCACGACCGAAGAATTTATGCACAAACTGTCAGAAACCATCTCAGGGAAGCTCAACTGCGTGCTCGTCATCCTCACCAGGGTCTTGACTTGACTTCAGTGGGCAAATGCTCACTTTCGATGGCCACTGGGGGGGGGGAGCTCACCTTGACTGGGTTCTTTGAAAACGCCTATCAAGCAACATGGACGCAGTGAGCAGTGTTGCAGTGAGATTATCTCAAGCAAATTTGCTGATACACAAAGCAACTCAAACAACCTTGAACATCAAATCTTGTCATATATTGCATCATGGTTTCCCAAATGATTTGCTTATCCAACTGTTTGGTTAACAGCATTAATATAGACAAAATGTTGGCTGTATAATTTTGCTAACTAGCCCAAATGGAACTGTCAGCACAGTTTATCAAACTAGCAAGCTAGTTCACCTTGGACAGTTTCAGTTGAAACTTTACAGGGTGAGGTCTGGGTACTTCTCATTGAATATATAGTAAATTGACTGCCAGATAATGTTAATATACAGTATCATGACTATCAATGATGTCAAGACGTTTGTATCGATGTTCCGTTTTGGCATGTCTCTTGATGTAATGACATGACAACTGCGTAACAGTTTTGGGCTACCCTTACCCCGCTTTTGTTCCATACTGGCTGAAGACCTAGCTAGCCAGTGAGGGGGTTCGATTAATCTCGCCCATGCGCCCGTGTAGGCGTGTTTTGCACCAGGTGGAAGTTGATTGCGTTCGTTTTGGAACCGGGCTGCCTCCCGGGCGTGAGCCAGGTGCCCCATTCAAAGCCCATGGTGAAGTCAGCTCAAAACAAAGTGACGTGGGAGCACGTGGAGTTATGAGTAGGATTCTGTGTTTTCACATGCAACAGTGATTGCTTTTGAGCTTTATCTGCATTCCCAATGAAAACGAGTTGATTTTATGGAAAAGAGATGTATGTTTCTGAACGATGTTGACAAAAATGACAGAGCGGTGCAGATTACTGGTCGATTTGAGAAGGGCGCTCTTGCTCCTCCCTCCCCGCTTTCGCCAGATGACGTAACGAGCCTTTGCCCGGCTCCCTGCGGGTCAGCATAATCGAATCCGGCCAATTAATAGCTAGCACCAGACACAGATGAAAGCGGAAACCTATAAGTATCTTTGCCTTAGAAGAATAGGGGGAAATCTCTAATTATTTGCTGACACACTGCAGTCAAATTTTGGAACTTCTAGACTAGCTACCTAGCTATGTAAACCACACCCCTCTGTGAACACGACTTCTGTGGTACTTATTTTTAATTACGTAAGAGAATAAGATGTGATGTCACACAATGCCCTTAATAATCCCTATTTCTTTTCACTTTGAGCACCTGCCCGTCCAAATGTATTTGCCCTGCCCTGATTGTACCCTAAACACTGACGTTAGACTGTATTAGAGAGGAAGAAACAAAGCGAGAGGGTTTACTCTGCCCAAAATCTGTCCACAAAAATAAGACCACGAAGTAAGGAATTTTTGTATGGAGATCAACGAGGGAGTATCGAATTTGTTCAACAAAAAAATGTAATTGCTGATTTGAGGATTATTTGATTGCATAGAAGTTTCCTACTGGTTAGGTTGTTACGAATGCACTGATATAAGTGAACGCACGTGGCATTTCGGCAACTTTGAAAAAAATGTAACATGTTATATCAAAGTTGTGCCTGTTGCGCACACGCGTATCTTCCTTCTCATTGGCTAGAATGTTCCCACCTGATCTTGCCTTCCATCTTTAAGGACATGTATTTCCATTGTTAGAGCGGTCACTCGACCAGCTTGTCAATATAATCTTTAAGGAACTCAGAGTGTTCTTTCAAATGTTTTAATTGGTCAGAGAGTATCACTGAACTAAATAATCAAGAATGACTATCATGCACCCTTTTTCACTTTCCCTCTGTAGGCTATTTGCCTATATACACCATCTTCATACCATTACAGTACTGTATATACAAGGGGAACAAGACTGTTCTTCCAAAATGATTTTTTTTCTTCTTTTCAGCAAAAATGTATATTAACAATATAATAAATAATTAAACTACTTAAAATGTTACCTTTCACAACACGACCCAATTCAACTTGAATGGGGGAAAAAACTGTTATTAACGGTAAGTGAAACGCACCTGTCCAACGACACAGCGGTGAGCGTAAAGATGCTGGCATACATGGTAAGGTAGATGATAAAGTGTACGACTTTGCACAAGAACGGTCCAAATACCCATTCATCCATAGTGTAGATAGTGGCTTGAAAAGGTACGCAGAACACTATAAAGCACAGGTCTGCCACGCCGAGGTTCAGAATAAACAGGTTTGTTGTTTTGGTGTTCATCTGTCTGTTCCAGAGGAGGACAGTGAGGACCAATCCGTTCCCCAAGGTACCGACCAAGAAGATGAGCGAGAAGACCAGAGAAATGATAACCGATTCCGTTCTCCAGTTCGCACCAGTTTGATTCTGCAGAGAGTTAATCATTGTTACTTTTTATTCAACTTCTTTATAAATCTGAGGTTTCGGTATTTGAAATCCTTTAATTTAGTGAATCTCAGAGATGCTCAAAAGGTCCTTTACGCACCACATTGTTCATATCCAGATGCTGCGTAACGCGCACAGGTTCTAAGCATCGATAAATAATTGGTTGTTGTTCAAACAGGTGGAAAGTTTAAGCATCCACCCCCCTGTCTAGTCTAGTCCTCCTATCTCTGACAAAAGGGGGAGAGTGTTTTCTGTCTCTGGCTGGGCTAGGTGGGGTGTCCTCTCTCTTTCTCTCTCTGCCACACACCACCTACGATGACATCTCTCTTCACTCTCTTGCATTTTCAGTCCTGCATGTTATCAATATCAAGCCACATTCACATCCCTCCCATCTTCAGTATAATTCCTAGAGTTGATAGATATTTTTTATCTGCCCATTTACAGTACATTATGGGGTTACTATCAAAAGGATGAAGATTTATGCCCATGTCCAAATGGCACCCTATGCACTACTTTTGACCAGAGCCATATGCTTTTCCTGTTTTCATCCAGCTCTTTCTATTCTGTGGATGGTGTCTAGTGTTTCTTATTTTCTCATCACAATAAAGCTTCATTGATTGCTTTATTGAATGTATTTTACATTAAAATACATATTTTATGCTGCTCCAACCGGAGACAACATTACATACATTTAATAAAACAATTATTGAGGATAGACACTGCTTACAGTGGGGGAAAAAAGTATTTAGTCAGCCACCAATTGTGCAAGTTCTCCCACTTAAAAAGATGAGAGAGGCCTGTAATTTTCATCATAGGTACACGTCAACTATGACAGACAAATTGAGGAAAAAAAATCCAGAAAATCCCATTGTAGGATTTTTAATGAATTTATTTACAAATTATGGTGGAAAATAAGTATTTGGTCACCTACAAACAAGCAAGATTTCTGGCTCTCACAGACCTGTAACTTCTTCTTTAAGAGGCTCCTCTGTCCTCCACTCGTTACCTGTATTAATGGCACCTGTTTGAACTGTTATCAGTATAAAAGACACCTGTCCACAACCTCAAACAGTCACACTCCAAACTTCACAATGGCCAAGACCAAAGAGCTGTCAAAGGACACCAAAAACAAAATTGTAGACCTGCACCAGGCTGGGAAGACTGAATCTGCAATAGGTAAGCAGCTTGGTTTGAAGAAATCAACTGTGGGAGCAATTATTAGGAAATGGAAGACATACAAGACCACTGATAATCTCCCTCAATCTGGGGCTCCACGCAAGATCTCACCCCGTGGGGTCAAAATGATCACAAGAACGGTGAGCAAAAATCCCAGAACCACACGGGGGGACCTAGTGAATGACCTGCAGAGAGCTGGGACCAAAGTAACAAAGCCAACCATCAGTAACACACTACGCCGCCAGGGACTCAAATCCTGCAGTGCGAGACGTGTCCCCCTGCTTAAGCCAGTACATGTCCAGGCCCGTCTGAAGTGCATTTGGATGATCCAGAATAGGATTGGGAGAATGTCATATGGTCAGATGAAACCAAAAAAGAACTTTTTGGTAAAAACTCAACTCGTCATGTTTGGAGGACAAAGAATGCTGAGTTGCATCCAAAGAACACCATACCTACTGTGAAGCATGGGGTTGGAAACATCATGCTTTGGGGCTGTTTTTCTGCAAAGGGACCAGGACGACTGATCCGTGTAAAGGAAAGAATGAATGGGGCCATGTATCGTGAGATTTTGAGTGAAACCCTCCTTCCATCAGCAAGGGCATTGAAGATGAAACGTGGCTGGGTCTTTCAGCATGAAAATGATCCCAAACACACCGCCCGGGCAACGAAGGAGTGGCTTCGTAAGAAGCATTTCAAGGTCCTGGAGTGGCCTAGCCAGTCTCCAGATCTCAACCCCATAGAAAATCTTTGGAGGGAGTTGAAAGTCTGTGTTGCCCAGCGACAGCCCCAAAACATCACTGCTCTAGAAGAGATCTGCATGGAGGAATGGGCCAAAATACCAGCAACAGTGTGTGAAAACCTTGTGAAGACTTACAGAAAACGTTTGACCTGTGTCATTGCCAACAAAGGGTATATAACAAAGTATTGAGAAACTTTTGTTATTGACCAAATACTTATTTTCCACCATCATATGCCAATAAATTCATTAAAAATCCTACAATGTGATTTTCTGGATTTTTTTTTCTCATTTTGTCTGTCATAGTTGACGTGTACCTATGATGAAAATTACAGGCCTCTCTCATCTTTTTAAGTGGGAGAACTTGCACAATTGGTGGCTGACTAAATACTTTTTTTCCCCACTGTATTTTGGTCATTGTGGTCCTTGAATCAGACAAACATTAGCAGAAGTTTGTCATAAAAAACGGTCATATAAGTTTTTGGTTGCACCTTGTCTCACTTTGGTTGAGAACCCTCTACTTCTCTCCTTCATTTCAGCATGAGAGGGAGGGTAAGAAAACATGGTCATTGGGATTACTGAAGCCATGGCAAGATGGCAAAATGGAGTCAATTTAGATTTCTTATCTCTCCAAAAAGGTAATTATTACTACTATTCTCCATCTTGGCAGGGTTCAGGTAGTTATAGGGCAGTGTAAGCTTGGTATTGCTCTCCATGACTGAATGGTTGAGGAAGGACAACTCTGCCTGCAGTTGCTTCATCATCTGCTTGGGAGCCGTCTCATCAAAGTATTCATCTGGGTATGTACCAAGGGCAATCTAATATTAAAACTGGTGGTCGTCTCACCTAGCTACCTTAAGATGAATGTACTAACTGTAAGTTGCTCTGGATAAGAGCGTCTGCGGAATGACTAAATGTAGATGGTGGTCCTCTGTAGCTCAGCTGGTAGAGCACGGCGCTTGTAACGCCAAGGTAGTGGGTTCGATCCCCGGGACCACCCATACACAAAAAAAATTATGCATGCATGACTGTAAGTCGCTTTGGATAAAAGCGTCTGCTAAATGGCATATTATTATATTATTATTATTATTATAGATGTAAATCATTGGGGACAAAACTCTCAAAGTCTGAGTATTTCTTGCTGAGCGACCATTCGAAAGCCATGACCCTGACAGTTGAGCCGACGTCTGGTAGCGCCTCCAAAATGGTGCTAATGCTGGAGGTCCTTTTAGTGGTGGGAGGAGCACAGAAACTTGGGGCTGTTGTGTACCCAACCGTAGTCAGACTAGGAAGGAGACATACAGTACCAGTCAAAACTTTGGACACACCTACTCATTCAAGGGTTTTTCTTAATTTTTTACTATTTTCTACATTGTAGAATAATAGTGAAGACATCAAAACTATGAAATAACCATATGGAATCATGTAGTAACCAAAAAAGTGTTAAACAAATCAAAATATATTTTAGATTTTAGATTCTTCAAAGTAGCCACCCTTTGCCTTGATGACAGCTTTGCACACTCTTGGCATTCTCTCAACCAGCTTCACCTGGAATGCTTTTCCAACAGGAGTTGGAGTTCCCACATATGCTGAACACTTGTTGGCTGCTTTTCCTTCACTCTGCGGTCCAACACATCCCAACCATCTCAATTGGGTTGAGGTCGGGTGATTGTGTACATATTACACAGCCTGGAGGTGTGTTGGGTCATGGTCCTATTGAAAAACAAATGATAGTCCCACTAAGCGCAAACCAGATGGGATGGCGCATCGCTGCAGAATGCTGTGCTAGCCATGATGGTTAAGTGTGCCTTGAATTCTAAATAAATCACAGACAGTGTCACCAGCAAAGCACCCCCACACCATCACACCTCCTCCTCCATGCTTCATGGTGTGAACCACACATGCGGAGAACATCCGTTCACCTACTCTGCGTCTCACAGAGACATGGCGGTTGGAACCAAAAATCTCAAATTTGGACTCATCAGACCAAAGGACTGATTTCCACCAGTCTAATGTCCATTGCTCATGTTTCTTGGCCCAAGCAAGTCTCTTTTTCTTATTGGTGTCCTTTAGTAGTGGTTTCTTTGCAGCAATTCGACCATGAAGGCCTGATTCACAGTCTCCTCTGAACAGTTGATGTTGAGATGCGTCTGTTACTTGAACTCTGTGAAGCATTTATTTGGGCTGCAATCTGAGGTGCAGTTAACTCTAATGAACTTATCCTCTGCAGCAGAGGTAACTCTGGGTCTTCCTTTCCTGTGGCGGTCCTCATGAGGGCCAGTTTCATCATAGTGCTTGATGGTTTTTGCGACTGCACAAAGTAGTGATGGACTGTCATTTCTCTTCGCTTATTTGAGCTGTTCTTGCCATAATATGGACTTGGTATTTTACCAAATAGGGCTATCTTCTGTTTACCCCCCTACCTTGTCACAACACAACTGATTGGCTCAAACACTTTAAGAAGGAAATAAATTCCACAAATTAACTTTTAACAAGGCACACCTGTTAATTGAAATGCATTCCAGGTGACTACCTCATGAAGCTGGTTGAGAGAATGCCAAGAGTTTACAAAGCTGTCATCAAGACAAAGGGTGGCTATTTGAAGAATCTAAAATATTAAATATATTTGTATTTGTTTAACACTTTTTTTGGTTACTACATGATTCCATATGTGTTATTTCATAGTGTTGATGTCTTCACTATTATCTACAATGTAAAACATTTTACAAATAAAGAAAAACCCTTGAATGAGTAGGTGTGTCCAAACTTTTGACTGGTAGTGTATATATATATGATACAACCATCCTAGCTCTGCAGATTTAGCTGCGAAGAGACAGAATCATTAGATCACTTGTTTTGGTGCTGCCCACATGTAGCTTGTTTTTGGTCACTGGTTCAGGAATGGCTGACAAATTGCAACATTTACTTGGAGACAACTCTGCAAATAGCACTGCTGGGTGATTTGAAAAGTCAGTCAATCGATCAATAATGTATTAAATTTTTTATTTAACCTTTATTTAACTAGGCAAGTCAGTTAAGAACAAATTCTTATTTACAATGACGGCCTACACCGGCCAAACCCGGTGAA